TCTTGTGGAAAAAAAATCTTATTTACAAATTCACTAGTATAATTTTCTTGAACATACTTTAGGTCTTAAGGTCACCTCACTATTTTTGGAACAAAATTTCTTAAATTCTCTCAGTTTTCTAGTGTAAATATCCTGCCTTCTCTCGGGGGCAAGTTTTTTTTTATTGTCAGATACAACAATGTGATCTTGTATATGGGAARTGCTATGTCTCATCCTGATTCAGATGCAGTTCCACTTTTCCCAGTTTTTCAGATATCAGCAGATGGTAGCAGAATAAAGTATGACTACAGGCTATGAATTTCTTATCGTGGTATCAGCATTCTTACATTGCAGGGAGTGGCATCTCCCTAAAAAGAACTGTAGCTGATTTATTATCACGTATCTACTTACTCGCCAACTTTCTCTCCCAGACGAGCTTTTTTTTCCCCCCACATGAATATTTCTGGCATAGACAGAATCACCTCTGCATGTCCCAGTGAGACTGTCGTCGTTTTGTAGGTACTGATCCTCCAACTGATGTTGCCAGCAGTGTCAGTACAACACCATGRAAGACTTACATGGAAAGCTCACAATAAAAACTTATATCCAGTTTTTATTTATCAGGACAGCAATGTCAGAGTAACAGATGACAAAACATCCCAACACAGCTGGTTATTTAGACAGTGTTTTACAGTACTGCTTCTAGCAGTAGCAAGGATTACAAAAGTCAAAAGCTTAGAAATCCCCTGAGATACTCTTTTGTATATCTGCTCTTGATAATACAATCAAGGAGCATTACCCAGTGTCCATTGTATGTTATGAGGAAGATGCCGTGTTATTGACCAAAACAATATCTTCATGAAGCTGCACTGGGGTAGTGCAGAGTATAGGTAAAAATATTTTTGTGTGTTCATACAAGTATAATGACAGATTTGCTAGCTACCAGAAACTGGAGATGCACACAAATGGTAGAAAACATAATGAACTTTCTCAAGAATGAAAAGTATTTAAAATTGAAAATGGACATGTGGTACTCTAAAAATATTTTTCAAACATTCTTGGATCATAACTTTTTGAGGGCTTTCTTTTTTATTGCCACAGACTTCCTTTTTTTGAAGAAAGGAAGGGTAAAAACCTTTTATAAAACATGAAGGGACAAAATGATTTATCAGTTCAGTTATTCTAATAGAGAAGTCACTGGTGTAAGAGAAAGCAGTTTCTCGGTGTTCAATTCACCCAGAGGCTGAGGATGATTCTACAAGAGGATTTCTTGGCTGGAGCACATGGTGAAAGATTGACAGCTAAAGGAATTAGGGGTGCTAATAGCCTTTATTAGTGTTTAATTAGATGCATTCCCCTTAACTGTTAGGCTAATTTTTCTTTTTTTCATATTTGCATGGCAGCTTCAGTGAGAATAGTGTTTGCAGAAAGCGTCCTTGCCCTTGGATAGGATGCCAGAAGAAAACACTCTTGTACTTACTCCTGTGCTACAGGGCTGAAAGGCAAAATAATTAGTTCCACACAACTAGGAATAAATCACGCAGCTGAAACAAAATCGTGGCTGACAACTGACAATGTTGGTTAAAAAACAAAACAAAACAAAAGCACCCCACTTCCCTACTAAGATTTCAGTGAAAATATAATCAGTAAATCCTTATTGATGAGAGAATGGTTTACAGATACAGAGTAGGTGATTTCGGTATGTAGATGCCTTTACAATAGGTTTAGTGTTTCTGATTTATATATGCATCGCTGTAAAATAAAGATATTTTATATATTTTTTATTTATATATTTATTTATAATTTATGTATGATTTATGTTATATATAATAAAGAGCAAGAAAAATAATTCTTAATAATTTGCACTAATATTTTTTTCCAGTTTGCATTTGCACAGTAATACGTATTCCTTAGCTTAGAAATGACCTTTGGAGGTCATTTCAGAGGATAATTATCATCTCAGAATGTTTTAACAGTGTTGCCTTATGCTTTGTCCCTTTTTGTTACCTAGAGGATATTGGAGAGTCCGTTGTGTTTTACTTCATCTTTCATAAGTGACAAAGGATAGAGCAAATTTGGTCACCTGTTTTATTTCTGTTTATTATTTCATAACTTGTTCAGAATCACTGGTGGTTATTCAGCTCTCTAGGAAAAGATTATAATAAAGCCTGTATCTTTACATGGTGTATGTTATGTATCCTGTTGAAAAGGAGTACCAAACTGCTTGCAGAGATTTAATAGCAACATTCTTCATTAATTAATTTATGTACAAAGCACAGACTATTTTTATGTTCTCACTTTTTTTGTTCAACTTATATCATTTGTGGGATTTGAATTTGGATGAGTTGAGCCCATTCTAGGTTTCTGTAGTTTAAGGACACGTACTTACTGGGAACTGTCATCTGACCCTGCAGAGAGCACAGTTGTGTGGTGCTTTTCTGGGTTTGTTTTGGTTTGTTTTTGGCTTCGTTTTGTTTTTGATGTCGTATAGCCATTAGCGTGACCTGAGCCATTTCAGTGTACCTGCCATTCCCTGGAGACTAAAGATAAAGGGATTTGTTACTCAAGACACCACGAAGCATGCTTAAAGGCTGAAAGAACAGAGAGGTTTACGCTGTGTATACGTTGCATTTTCTTGGTATCTCAGCTRGTGTGGTTGTAATGAAAAGGTGCAGTAGTCATAAAAAACACTGCCGTAGAGCTGACATTTTAYTGTGGTCACAATAAACGGCGTGTTGTTGCGACATGTAAATGCATGCCTTGGCAAGCAGGTGAGCACCCGCTGACGTTGAATTATTTAGCCGTGTCTCCGGCGGGCCCTTGGCTCACAGCAGAAGGTGCCTCYGCACCCTCCCCAGCACAGCCGGAGGGAGCCTTTGCTGAAGGGTTTCGCCTCCAGAAGTAAACACGAGGCTAAGAATAGAGTGCCCTTCCTTGCAGGGTATTTTCATGGTCGGCTGTCTAAACAGCCGGGCTGTCTAGACGGCTGGCGGCGCTCGGGCGGCCTAGAAGGTCGGGAGCAGCCGCGTAGGCCGCTCGGGGGCCGTTACCTAGCGCGGCGGCCGCACCGGGAGGACGGGCGCACGCAGCCRTTAGCGATCTCTTTGAAAGCCAGCCCTGGCAGGAAGGCTTTAAATAGTGCATAGGAGTGTGTAAAGAAAAGGGGTTTTCAGTGTTAGGAAACACCTATATCAGGGTCACGTGAAAGGATGAGACCTGCTATGCTTGTSCGTGCCCTTTAAAGTTTGTTTTGTAGTGTCATTTGTGCTGAGCTCTAACTTAAACTTGAACCATAGCTCAGAAGCCTGTCTTTTGTTTTTTTGGTTTTTTTTTAGGAGAAATTAATGAGGAAGACTGGCCAAATCCAATTTTAATACATACCTACAAAGGAAAAAAAAAATGAATGTAGTTTTTGTGTTGCTAATATATGTGTACAAAGTGTACAAAGCTGGATCCTAAGTTCACATATGATGCATTGTAGAAATAAATAAAATGATATGGAGCAAAATACTCCAGGAGGCACCTAACAAAAGGTTAACAAACAAAAGGTTAACAAAATGGTTAACAAGAGACTCCTTTAGTAAGGGGTTCATGTGTGAAATTAGGGACATCTCCCTGCTTTCTCCTGACTTCCGCTTGTAGCACATGTAACCAGCTTTTGTGATTAAACACTTGAGCTTGTGAATGATCTTTTATCATTGCTGATGCGGACCTTTTTCTAAAGCTGTAGTCCAGAGGGATTTTAATGCCAATGGCAACAGAGTAGTGGATGGYTCTGAATAGCCATTTGTCCTGTATTCCCAGCAGCTCAGTTCTTCCAGGGCCAAAGACTAAAAAGCAGGGAGCAGTTGCTGTGTTTCCACTAAGCAAGGAGCTGCTGATTGCTGTTAAGAGATGGCAGCAGCTCATTTTCTGTGATGAAAGTGCCTTAAGTGCAAGCACCTGCACTTGGCCATTATGGGGATTGCTCAATTCTCTGCCATGGAGAAATGGAGCTGCATTTGATTCACAAGCTTATATAAAAATAGATGAGCCAAAAGGCAGGCTAGAAATACTTGCATTTAGTGTACTAAATGCTGGCCTAGATAGCCTTTGGGATGGTCATGTTCGGTAAATGTCTTTGAAAGATTGTCTTGCTACATGTTTTTTGAAGATAGGTACTTCACATGCCACGTGGCTCTCTACTCTTTAGGATATGTGTTTGCTGATGCAAAAAGAAATTGTCAGGAGCAATGGTGAAAAGGAAGCAGCTCAAAAACTGTGCCCAGTCTAATCCTTCCCTAAAAATTTATGTTTGATGGATTATCAAAATGTTGATCTTGCCAATATGTATTTGCTTCTTGGGATGTATGTGCATGTATAAAATAGGTCTAGCTTTGCTACAGGGTTTTCTCATCTAAATAAAAAACCTTTGGTCTGTCAAGAGATATGTTGAGAAGGCATAAAATATTAGAATACAAAATCTGCAGAAAACAAGGCTAAGATATTTTCTGCCTGAGGAATGTTACTTTGTACTAGTTCGTTATTAAGCAAACCATCATATAGCACAGAAAGCATCATACAGATACAGTGAAGAATACAATAGTATCTAAGGAAAAAAAATAGTTTTCTCTGCAACTTAATTATTAAGTGCCTCTTTTATCTACAACAATGTTTTCTCATTCTTATAGTACTGTTATTACATCAACAATTCTACCTTAATTTCAAGGCTAATTATTTTTAGTCACCTAGTGCACATTATCCTGAGAAATTAGCTTGAGAATAACACCTTGTTTACATTATGTAAATGCTATTTAGACTTTCTTGCTTGGAAATTTTCCTTGTAAAAAGGTTCCTGATGCCATGTTAATATTCGTTATTTGTGGTTGCGTTGCTTGTTGGTTTGCTATGAGCTTATGAGACTAAATCCTTGCTTAGTTTCCTTGCTTTAAGAACATTGCACAGTGTGTATTCCTAATTTAAAGTTATTTCTAAGCTGTTTTTTTTTTTTCCCCCCTTAAAATTCACTTTTCTTCTTCAAGATTGAAAATCTTCAAGAACAGCTAAGAGACAAGGAGAAGCAGATGAGCAGTTTGAAGGATCGAGTGAAATCTCTTCAAGCTGACACCACGAACACAGACACTGCCTTGACCACGCTGGAAGAAGCACTTGCAGAAAAAGTGAGTATGAAAAGCAGCAAGATCCTTCCTTTTAAAGGTCCTTCTATTAATAATGTCCCTAAAGGTATCTTTTCCTTGTGTTTCTTGAACTCTGCATAAGAAAATGTCCAAGGCAAGTGGCATTCCTCGTCTCTGCCAGGTGAGCAGAGCCTCAGCGGAGGCCGCTGATTCCTCACTAGATGGCACTGGAGGATGTTCACATTGGCCACCTGTGTGGCCACCCAGTGTGTGCTATGAGTAGGGCAGGAGGTAGAGCTAAGCCACCAGCTTCTGCTCTGGTCCTCTTGACTTCTCATAACTTCTGAGGAAGAAAACAGCGCTCTTTGCTCTCACCCAAGTTCTTGGAGTCCTGCTGTGATCCTGTTGTGATACAATACAATGCATCTTTGGCACTGGTGTGGGACGCAGTTTGTTTCAGCTGTTCATTCCTCTGCGTTTCTGTTTCTGTTTCTTTTTTTTTTTTAATTAAAATCAGACCAATGTCTTGTTTCATTTTATCTTTCTTTTCCTCAGGTATTTAAATGATGAATTTATTTTTAAAGTTTTGTTATTTCAAATAGTGTTTTAGTTCCCAACATTGAATCGCCAGGAATAGCCTGGTGCAACTGAGTATTTCAATCTCACTATATTTTCAGCTTTATTTTTCCTACTGTATTTTCATGCTTGCTCAATTCTCAGGAGACAGCTAATTGAGGAAACAGCAACATTCCATCTTTTATTATTAATTTTTATTATCAGAACTAGGTAAATTACATTACACTGCAGCAGGACAATGAATACTGAAACATAAGAGAACAGTGGGAATGAACACCCTGGTACATCTTAGCAGTGAATCCACAGATTTTTCAAAGTGATTTTCCTCCTTCTTGAGAATCCATTGTGCAACAGTAAAGAAGTGTTGTGCTAATACTCAAAAAGTGAAGTGACTGAAAGGAATTTTCTTCACAGAGTACTTTCTTTTTCCAGGAGAGGACCATTGAGCGCCTCAAGGAGCAACGAGATAGAGATGAACGAGAAAAGCAGGAGGAGATCGACAACTACAAAAAAGATATTAAGGACCTGAAAGAGAAAGTCAGCATTTTACAAGGAGATCTCACAGAGAAAGAGGTTAAGAGCAACACAATAAGACTGTTGTATTAAAACCGTTTTTTATATATATATATATATATGGGGTATAATGTACATGTGTACATAAATATATATGTATGCACGTATATTTTAGATGAAGTAAACTGTTCCTTCACGGTAATGGTCCTTCATCAAGTTTATCTCGTGAAATATGCTGTATGGGAGATTTTCAAACATAAATATTTCAGAGCCATCCTTTTATTGATAGCAGGCAGTTCTATATTTGCTGCAGTTCAATCATAGGCAATACTAGTGAAAGACAATTGTCAGTGGTAGCAGTCACTTCAGCAATGCTTGTATGGAACTGAAGGTAAAGAAAAAGCTTATTTCTCTTTGAGTGTAAGGAGGAAAGAGGTAGAGCTTTCTGTTCCATAGGAATAGAAAAAATACAGATACATTTTTATTTTCATTATGAGAACAAAAGTACTACTTMTTTTGACTCAGAATTCAGAGCCAAAATTTAAGTAGGCTACTGGCTAGATAAATTAACTTAATTATGTAACAGAAATGCAGATGCTCTTTGTTACTTTTTTGGAACTCAAAATTCAAGTTAACAATCTTAATTCAAAACGCAATCAAGTTAAAGCAATAGGAGAAAATTGCACCTAGCAAGTGCTGTGATTTTTTTTTTATAACAAACGTGGAAGTCCACATTTGGCAGGGAAGAAACGAACAGTTTGACACAAAAATGCTTCACAGAACAAGGAGCTGAGAAGTYTGTTGGGAATATGTAGTGTGAATCCTTTTCACCGCATAGCAGCTGTATATAAAAAAATCTTTGAATCCTCTAAATTTTASATATAGTGGCTAAATCTGCTAAATTTTTAAATTTTAAATCATATTTAGCTATAATTTTACTTAAACATGACTATCACGGAACTACCACTGTCAGTTTACAGAATATTTCATGTTTGAAATAAATCTTTCAAAAACTTTATGACTTTGAAGTGGACTTTGGCAAGGTTTTTTTATTTTGATCCGTAAATCTGAATTAAGTCAAGCCTTCTTAACTCCATAAATATCCAATGAGCATTCCGACAAATYTGGGATCCTAAACTCAGGGTGAAGGAATAGGAGAAAAATGGACAACAAAAAAAGAAAGTGGCTATTGCATGTAAAGAATATTTTATTTTTACAATTACTTTACTGCTTTTATTTTAGACGTCCCTACTGGATCTGAAGGAACATGCTTCATCTCTCGCTTCATCAGGACTGAAGAAAGATTCGAGACTCAAGACACTGGAAATTGCATTGGAGCAGAAAAAGGAAGAATGTTTGAAAATGGAAACTCAACTGAAAAAGGTAATTTTCCTTCATAACTTCATATATTATTTAAGTAAGCAGTGTTAGATAAATTGGATATGTTTATGCACAAGACTGATTCTTGAGCTTGAGTTCTGTAAATTGCTTATTAGCAAAGTATTTTGAAGTTTTCAAAATGTGTTACAAGCTAAGACTCTCAGAAAGGAACTTTATGATACTGTTGCTAATTTTGAATTTTGTTTACATGCAGTGACAGTGGTGTTGATTATGTTTTTTTTAACAGGTATTAGGAATTACAGACTTATTCTGTTTCAGAACCACACTCAACAATAAATGAACATTGAACTTTTTTTATTTTAACTTAGTTTTAAGTTTTATTTTAACTTAGAATGCTAGATAATAGAGAAGCACAAAAGCACTGATCAAAATAGCAATGACAATTTTACTTACAAAAAATGCAAAATGCAGCACACAGCACTTAAAGAAATTCAAATTTTGGATGGTGGAGTCCGAGCTACTTCTTTACACCTAGCCTAGTGAAAAGAAGGAGGGTCTGTGCTGTGGTCGGGAACTTTCCTAGTACTGCCACTGAATTTGAGAGCAATTTCTGAGGCAAAAAATAAAACCTTCTAGCGTTCTTACTGTGTGGGTACAAAAGAAGGGTTAAGGCCCTTGAGAATTCTGTGTGAATGAAACTCCGTRTACTCCTATCCAGACCCACATTTGCCATTCTCTCTATTTCTATTTTACCAAATAAAATAAACATCCTTGTGTTACCCAGCAGAGTRCATACAGAACAACTAGAGACTTGTACACTTTTAACAGGCTTTTCAGTGTTGTGGGTCAGTACTTACGAAGTCCTAAAGGGCCTTTCACTTTGAATTCTGAGTACATGAATTGCAGCTTCACCTTTTTGATGATATATTTTTGATAATGATTTGAGGAATAACTCATAGCTAAGATTTGCCAGAGATTATTATAGCAATTGGATAATAGTATTAATTTTGCAGAGACAGATGCACTGGAGACCTTTGTTACCTTCAGTATTTTTTACACAGGTAGTAGGAGAGAGCTAGAAGAGCACATAGAAAGTTAAGTTATGAAAACACAGGTGTGGAAATTAAGGTATATAGGGAATGATTAATGGTTATGCATTTAGTGGTTGTGAAAGTAGTGCTTGTTCCTGCTTCCTCAGAGAGAGCTGTCTCACTACATGCAGTGAGCATAGGAGTAGTATGACAGGGTGTGGAGGTTGACTAATATCTGGAGAAGCACTGCTAGTTAGAAGATGAAGATGCAGTTAATTTGCACTGGAATAATAACTCTTCATTATAATACTTTTATGTCTACCTCTGCTCTTTCTGTTTTAGAGGGGATTACTGATATCCAGGAACACACATAAGGAACCTGAGACAGTTCATAAGACTATATTTTTTATAGTGTGTTCTCTTTGTTTCAGGAAGTAATTAAGATTGGTTATTCTCCTATGATCCTTTCCCCGAGGCTTCAAATAGGCTTGAAATGCCCCAGGCATTTTCGCTAGGACATATGGGCAGTTGTTCCCTATGTGAATGCTCTAATTAGCTTTCTGGAGTCCCAGTGAGAGAAAATCATCTATACTTTGTTCCTTTTAAAATACCTTGTGATGTTAGGCTGCTACATTCTTTTAAGTGAAAGATTTTTGGTAATGATAAATTAGTCTAGAGTAACAGGTAAGAAGGAAATTGCAGCTGCAGGCTGGAGATAGGCTTTCATGCAGCTGGGACTTTCCTTCCTCCTCTTGTGCAAAAGAGCCCACTTGTATCACTGATCCTCCTTGGTTTCTAGAACCACTTCACAGTCACTCCTAGTTACGGAAGAAAATATGAATAGCAACCATTTGAATATGTTTTAACTTATGAATATGCTTGGATAGTTCTTTAAAAGCCTCTTTCCAGTTGTTTTTAATTTGTCAACAAAGTTCATTGCAGAAAAATAAAGTGTATTTTTAAAGGGTGTCTGTCTTTCAATGTGTTGCAAATAGCTATTCAAGCAATTTGATATTTTCAAGGCAGATTAATTTCTTCTCTCATCTTTAAAAGAAGTACATGATAGATAATCCAGTTCTGATTTAATCATCTAAACACCTTTTTACACATCTACATTATGAAACCTTGCAAGTAACTGTCATAGTTCATCTTACAATTACAGTCTATAAAAGTAAATCCATTTATGAAAGAACTAAAAATGTTCAGAGGAGTTCTATTATGTTGACTTTTATTGCACTAGCTTAGTGCTGTTTTGCACCAAGTATTTATGGAAAGGGAGGACTCCTTCTTGCGCAGCTCTTAACAGCAAATGGCAAGAATTCCAGTTTCCTGTCAGCGTAACATCCTTGCAGTTTGAATAGAGATGTGTGTAATATCAGTCATGGTTTTCTTTCCTCTATTTCCACTGAACATTTTTGAGTACTTTCAGTTAAATCTAATCACCATAGTTGTTAAGATCTTGACAGAAGAGGCTGAATCAGAGTTAAATGTTCAATGTTAAACCATTAGGTAAAAAAGATTTAAGAAATCCTTAAAAAGCAATCTTTGCTAATCTTTGAACAGTGAGYCTTTGAGAACCCATCACAACTACAGGCTTCCACTTCTCTAAAAAGTATTTAACATTACACGAAAATTAAATATTATTAGCCAACTTGAGAGCAGCGGTCCTGAAYAGTTCATTATGTTTTTCTTCCTGTGTATTCAGTCCCCAGTATCTGGTTCTGATGACCTGTTCTCTTAGTTACTGTTCCTTTCATACTAATGAATATTTTATGGTGATCTCCGAGTGGATGTGATCCATATTTAGCTAATAGAAGTGTAATATTTGTCTTATTCCCTGGGGATTTTTTTTTCATTTTATTTTTTCTTTAATAATGATCCTATGGCTATGCAAACCTGTGTGCTTCAAGTTCTCATTGTTCCACTGTCATTTTTCCCCACACATTGAGCAGGAGATTCCATAGGAGATTCTGCATGTGGGAAGAAATCCATAAATGCCAGCTGAGTTTACCTAGTCTGCTGTGCTGCTTTACACAACCTCCGTTTGTGCTGAGATGGATTTGCAAAAGTTTCAAAGTTGCATAGTCACACACAATGGATTCTCTCCAAGGATTTCTCTTAATATTGGGGGGGTTGCAGTTTTCTCTTTGTTTTTTAGGAAACTCTCATTTATAACTTTTTTTATTTTTTTTTTTAGGAAACTTTTAAAACTTCTGTGTTAAAGCCACATTTTTCTAGAGATAACATATTGCTTTTCCTTATTTGTTCCCCAGGATGTTCTACTCCTCGTTTTTTTTTTCTGCTATCTTGCCTTTCCTAGTCTCATTTTCTTGCAGTTCATTTCTTTAATCTGGACAAGATGCAGTGATAAGTGAATACATTCCAGCAAAGAGGAACTACTTTTTTTTTTTCTTTGTTTCCAGTGTATATTTTTCTCCTTACAGCTATTTTGTTTATTTTAAAAAGCTCAAGGTTAAAAAAAAAAAAGTTGCAAGACAATATTTTAACAAATTTCTCCATGGTTCAGTTCTAGGGACTTTCTGCCCAGGAGTGTTAACAGTGATTCTCTGCCAAGAATTTCCTAGGATTTAACTCAGTTACACTAGTACAGGCAGTGGTGCTTTTCTTTTTGTGAATATGAATTTCTTGTCACAACTGAAATTATATGGGTAGCTGAGATAGAAATGTGATATTGCATTCACAGAGGGTTATTTGGAGGTTGTTTTATTTCCAAAAAATGTATAAACCCAGCAACTGTGTTCAATGTTATGTCATTTTTTGGATAGTTTCCTAAGCCATTTAGCTGTCTTGTAATTGATACAAGTGAAGCACTAGAAATAACAGTTCTGCTCAAGCCATTTGCCATCGGTAAACCAGAACACAGAACTTCATTACATATGGGAAGGCTGGACAAAAAWTGTCACCTATCAACTGCCTTTTTAGTAAATTACTCTTGCAGCTATTTTRAAAATGTTTTCTTGTTACATCTTTATTTTTTTTCTCTCTCACACTGTTCCTACCCCCAATTCTCCCCTTCTTTTCCTCTCTCTCTTTTCTCCCTTTAGCACCCTGAAGTTTTATTGAGCCATCCATCCAAGCTAGTAAGTTCCCTGGCAAACTGAGGCTATTGCCAACCCCGTGTAATTATGTGCGTGTTGCATGTGTGTTCACCTRTGCTTCTATGTCCTTGGACTAACACAGAGTGTATTGGTGAATTACAGTAGTGGGTGTGGATAGTATGGGGTGCAAACCAAGTGTTGTAGCATATATGTCATCAGCATATATGTGATTAGCCAAAAGAAAACCCRTTCTGAGATGCTTTTACTTTTTGGCTGTGTTAGTCTCACTTCTTTTCTATTTGGACAGCTTAACATTGTGCCCGTGCTTCTGTTTCCCTTCGCCACAGCTGCTTGGGACATCCTGCAGCTTGTCCTTCCCTTCCRTTGTCCGTATGTTCGCAGAGCAAGACTGCAGGGGAATCTCCACACAAATGAGGCCTCTGTAACCCCACGTGCAGCAGCACATTAGAAACCATAATGAAGTTGGAGCAAGTAAAAGATTGCTTAATAACTTGGATAGCCATTGATATGCTTTATTTGGGGTTCTGCGGCCAGCCTTCTGCTCGATGGCAAAGAGCACTCCTTCCAAAGAGTGGCTGTGTGATAATATCTTGACACAGAAAATTTCCTAATCCAAGGTGTTTTTCATCAGAGGTTTCTTTTGTRACTGCATGTTGGTAAAACTGTTACAAAATTATCAGAAGGCTGATAACTGTTTATTTTTAATAAAGTTTAGGGTAAATGAGGCTGTCCTGACAATAATTGTCAGAAGGTCAGAGAACTCCCAATACTTTTCTTAGTTTCAGTTTTCAGGACAACCTATGTTTTAAATTCTTTTAGCAGATAATAAAATGTTTTTACATGACCGACTTTGGGAAAAGAAGTTATGTGCCATAGGGATAAGTATTCAGATGGAATTATCAGAATTAAAAATAGTTAATTGTGGGTGGTT